CATATAAATAAAAAATTAATTACTTACGCATAAAAAATAATAAAATTTTAATTATTTACCTTTAAACTCACATAAAATTTTTTCCGGTTTCTCGAGTTTCATTTATATTCTACGAACATCTTTCCCCTGCTTTGTCCAAGGTAAGCACTTTCCAAGAGACCCCATTAGGGGTGGGCATCGGTCGGTTCGGTGACCGACCGACTATTATGATTGGTTAACCGAATTTTCGGTTGAAAAAAAATAAAAACCAATTACCGAACCGAATTAATGTCGGTTGTGTCGGTTCGGTATCATTTTTTTTCGGTATTATTATTTTCGGTTTCGGTGGACACCGAAATTAAAGTGAAAGGGTAGAAAATTCATAACTTAACCAAATTACAATGCAAATATCAAATAATTTTTCAAATCCCATAAAAAACAATAAAACATTATTAATAAATTCATAACAAGCTTGAATGAATAGCATAAAAAGAAAAGCACACATTAATAATAGAAAATATCATAATATTTATAACTACCATAAGAGTTGTTCATGTTCTACCATACTTGAAGTTATGAAGACTTCAAATAGTCATTTACAGTTATAGAATTTCACCATTAAAGAGAATGTAGATGCTATACAAAAAAACAAAAGTGATGTGTAGTTAGTAGTGTAGTGGGCATCCAACATCCTTTCTCCACAAAAAACCAAAGACGAGATGCATCATGTATTTCCAATTTCCCAAACTTGCAACAGCAGTAGAATGGCAATGCAGTGCAGTGCAGCAAAGTGCAGCAACATCAACGCAAGATGGCTTTATATACAAAAAGAAAGTAGCTCCAAAACCTTCATCAATGATATACAAAAAGAGAAGACCATATCTATAGTCTGGTTTATCTGTATGATAAATGTAAATAAACAAGGTTAGTAATTAGTATACAATAATAATCAATAATTAATTAACTTCAAACGTGAAAACGAAAGACAATCTTAAGTTAAACAAGCTAAAACTAGTAAAAAAATTCAGTTACTTTACCTATAACCCTACTACCATATACATGTTCTGCTTGCTTTGTCATGCCATAGTGGTGGAATCCAAATGAAGTTTATCAAAACCTGATAGGTCAAAATAATTTAATAAGTTCGCTGTTCACGATTTGCATAAAGCTATATATAACTTGAAGTGAAAATAAATTGAAAATGGACAAAGTTAGAAGGGCAGAAACCATTCTCCAAGCTTTCCAGCAAATCCAAGTCCTCCAAATCAGACACATCTCTAGAAAAAAGAATACAATGTTAAATAATGCATAAAGTAGTGAATAGCAAAATTAAATAACTATAGTAAATATACCTTGTAGTCAACTTCAACCAATCTTGACAGCAAATAAGTGCTTGGGCCATTCTTGGGGTAAGTGAGCTTCTAAAGGCATCAAGAACTCGTCCCCCAGTGGAGAAGGCAGATTCTGAGGCAACGGTGGAGATAGGAATAGCTAAGACATCCCTGGCCATTGCAGCTAGAATAGGAAACCTAGGTGCATTCATCTTCCACCATTTAAGGACATCAAAGTCCTCAGAATCTTCAGGAGAGTCCTCATTCAAGTATCTATCGAACTCTGTTTTTTCTGTAGCCCCACCAAGCTCAGCCTTGTACCTTTTGTAATCTAAAAGAAGTTGACTCTCACTCTTTGTAGATGACCCAACCTCATTGCTTACCCCATCATAATTGCATTTTACAGTAGAAATTTGTTGAGAGTTACTACCACTTGACCCACTGTAACTCAACCTCTTATATTCCTCAAACAGTTTTATGCACTCCAATTTGACCATGTCTCCATACAACTTTCCCTTATCCTTTTTAAACCTCTTAACCAACAGATATTGTACAAAATCAAGCTTGCGTCTTGGATCAAGCACAACAGCCACAAAAATGTTCTTATTCATCTTTTGTGGATCTCCCCAGTATTTGTCATACTTAATCCTCATACTCTTAGCCATTACACACAAATTTACATCAACCTCCCAATCTTTTAACAAACAATCAACTTCAGACACCCCATGAAAGAAAAGGTTGGCAGTGGGGTACAAAGTCCCTGACACTTTTTGAGTTAAATAATAAAAATGCTCCAAAAACTTTACCATTCTTCTACAGTTTTCCCAGTCAACACATGAGGGAAGCCCTGGAGGATTGGTTCCAGAACATAACTCAACCCTTATATTTGGCTCCACCCTTGCAAACCTTCAACCAAATACAAATTTAAAAAATCAGAATTCAAATAAGAAATAAAATAGCTAAATAAATGAAATATACATATAAAAAATCATAACATTAATAAAACTAACCTCTCAAATGCAAGCTCAAATTTCACTGCTGTATCAAGCATCAAGTAGAGTGAATTCCATCTTGTTGGAACATCTAAGCACAACAACTTTTTGGATTCAATCTTTTCAAATTCCACACATTCTTTGAACTTTTTAATCCTTTGAGGGCTTTGCCTCACATACTTAATAGCAGCTCTAACAGTAGCTATTGAAGACTCCACAAGCTTGGTCCCATCACCAACTACAAGATTAATAATATGTGCTGCACATCTCATGTGCAACTCAGCCCCTCCAAGAATGCTTGTACCCCACTTGTTTAGACAATCCTTGAGACATTTCACTAGACCATCATTAGCAGATGCGTTGTCCACTGTCAATGCATAAACCTTTTCGATCCCCCAATCCCTCAAACACCTTTCAAGAAGGTCACCTAACTGATCTCCCTTATGACTATCAATAGGACAAAAGCTAATGATTTTCTTTTGTAATCTCCAATCATCATCAATGTAATGTGCAGTTAATCTCATGTATGAAATTCTTTGAGTGGAAGTCCATGTATCTGTTGTTAAAGAAACTCTAATGGAATTTTCTTGAAAATATTTCTTTAACAGGTTTCTTTCATCAATATATATGTCATAGCAATTCCTAGTGATAGTCCTACGAGAAGGGAGTCTGAAACTTGGGGGCAATGCAACTCCACAGAATCTCTTAAAGCCTAGCTTTTCAACTAAACTAAAAGCAAATTCATCAGTTATAATTAACTCAGCAAGTGCCTTTTTAACAACTTCAGCATCAAATTTCCATGAGGTTAATTGATTAACCTCCTGCCCATCCCCCTCATCTCCACCTATGAATCTCAATAAACTCTGGTTTCTTTTGTTCCTTTCATTCCTTTTACAAACAATTAAATGATTTCTCAATGATGAAGTTCCATTATTCTTCGGATGAGCAGCTAGAACTTTCTTACAATACATGCACCTAGCTTTACTTTTGCCATCAGCATCAATAAAACTAGTAAAGTGATCCCATACCTCGGACCTTCTTGGAGCCTTCCTTTTTTTATCTTGGCCTTGCTCTAGAGTTGTTTCGTTTGCAATGGATACACCTTCAATAATCCCAATTGGCGTTTTTGATGTACCACCAATAGTGTTACATGCCTTTGCTTGAGATTCCATAGGCAGAGGCTCCTCTTCATGAAGTAGTTCTTCCATATGTTCCTGAAAATAACATAGATAATTGCAATTAAAATGAAAGAATACTACCATAGTGTAAAAATGTTGAAAACAATTAAAACAAATTCTCTTGATTCATACTTGCGGTTAAATCAAGAGTTGGAATCTCTTCACACTCCATCAAACACAAGCTATTTTCTTCCATTACCAACTTCTGCAATTTAAAAATTAGAAGAGATTAAACTAATGATCACCAAAAATATTAGAAACAATAAAAAAAAAAAAAGGTAAGATCATTAAAATTGCTCGAGTAAAAAAATTAGTGAAAATTTTTAATTTTTAGGGTTTAATTTGAATATAGTTCATGAATAAACAAAGATTAAGTTTACATTTACTGAAATTCAAAAATAAAGCAAGATTAGGGTTAAAAAATCTCAAAAATTAATCAAATACATACCAAATCAAGATTGAAAGAAGTTGCTTGTTGTTGTTACTATTGTCTTTGCTTCAAACCAAAAGCTTCTAATGATTGTTAAATATTAGAAAGGAGAGAAATTAGCACGGAGAAGGAATAGCCGAATAGGAGCACAGTGAGACAGAGGGAATGAACGAAAATAAGGGAGAAACAAAGGGTTAAGATTTAAGGAGGTTGCTGGGGCTTGAGTATGGTTGTGGACCTTGTGGTGGTCATGGCTGGTGCCTTGCTGATTCTGGTGAATGGTGGTGGTGTGCGTGCTGTTGGGGAAGGAACCAGAGCAAAGAATGAGATGGTGATATGAGATGTATGTAAAATGAATTAATTTGGTTAGGTTTAGCCTTTTATAGTTAGGGTTAATTTAGGTCACATAATTTTTTAAGAAAATAAATAAAACAAATAAAAAAATGATTTGGAGGGAAATAAAATGATATTTTAAGTTATAATAGGAAATAAAATGATATTTTAAGTTATAATAGGAAATAAAATGATATTTTAAGTTATAATAAGAAATAAATATTTTTTTTTTAACCTTTGGAGGGAATTTATCCCGCTCGAACCCAAAAAATCTCCCACCTAGCCACTGCCACTGCCTTGCCACTGTCACTGCTAGTGGCAGTGGCTAGTCCCATCAAGGCAACAATGGGAAAATGGGCACAAAAAATGAAAAATAGTTTTTTTGGGCCTCGGTTTCTTCGGTCAACAGGAGGCTCTCATCGGGTTTCGGTTTTTGGGCTTGCAAACCAAAGCCCGCCCGATTGCCTTTCGGTTTTTAATCCGAAACCGCCCCAAAAAACCCGCACCCGAAAATTCGGTA